ACACTCGTATACCCATGGGCACGATCTTCGGGTGTTCCCCAGCCAGTGCCTAACTACAGAACTCTGGGAGTTAGCCAAAGGCCAAGGTGGGGGGCTGGAGAAGCCAGCCGTGATCCCCTGGACATGGGCCATCATGTCAGGTGTTCACAGGGAGCATTGCAAGAGTCCACACATGTCCTACGTGTGTGTCCTCCATGTGCAATGAACACACAGCGAGGGGCTGGAAGGCCACACAGCAGAATGGTGACATGTTTCCCAGGGTTGGGGAGCGGGGCCGGGGGCTGGACACATTGGTGACCTCATTCTCTCTACAGAGGCCTCTCCCATTGCTGTGTTCAAGGACTCATGGTGCATCGCTCTTGTGATATGAAAAACAAAAGAAAGTACTTCTTGGAAATAATGCTTTTGAAGAATAACAATATGAGACAATGCTGAAAATATGTAGTTAAGTTTTAAAATCAGGATAACAAAGACTAGCAAGCGATGATTACATACGTTGATACGAACACGCATGTGAACAGTATGGCGATTTAAAAAGTAAACACTGGAAGCAAAATGCTCTCGAGAACCCACTGATTTTGTTTAGAAATCTCTTGGCATGGGCTGGCCCCAGGGAGTGGTTATGGAGTCAGATCTCGCATGGCCGACCAGAGTTCAAATCCTAGCCCGTGACCTGAAGACATGTTGTGTGTGTGTGTGTGCATGTGAGCCCCGAATCCTGACAGGATGAAGAAATGAAGAAGTGTGGCACGACCTTGCCTCTGGGGGTGCTTTCTGTTTCTCTGCACGCTCGGGCACACACATGCTCTGGCAATGGACTAAAATCTCTTTCAGTGTGGACGTCGAAGCCCCCCAGCATCACCGCCATGGGCTGGATGGGCCAGCCTGAGAGTGGAGCTGGCCCCCGGGAGCCGATGGGGCAGGAAGGTGCTAAGGACGGGGGAGACCGAGAGAGGACGACGGAGCCTCAGGACCCTGACGGACAGGTGGGCTGGAGAAACGCCCCGTGGAGGGGTGCTGAGGGACCGAAGGACAGGGTGCCTGGCTGCGGCAGCCCTGCTCTGTCACCTTCGGTGAGGCTCTGTGTCCAACAGCGACCTCGTGTGACCACGCTCGGGAGCGCTGTGGGGAGGGGGCACTGAGGCTGCAGGGGACATGGCATTGGAGCGGAGTGGCAGGGTCTCCACGCATGTGGATGGGACTGAGGTCCTAGTGCCCCCTGAGGAGGAGTCTGCAGGGCAGCTCGGACAGGACGCTGGGCTGGAGCCACTCGGGGACATTTCCTCCGAGCGCCGGGAGAGGAGGCCACGCTGTCGCCCCTCTTTGAGCCGTTATGTGACACGAGAGCGTCACTGCTCTGTGACCACAGGCCTCCTCGCCCTCCCCACCACCCCTCCTCTCGGGGCACAGCAGGGGTGCTGCACGCCCGCCCATCTCCAGACCAGCCTCCCCGCCGAGTTACCTTCCTCACACCGGAAGTCAGGGAAGGCCACGTCCTGCAGGGGGATCTGCCGCAGGAAGTCCGGGTTGTGGCACCGCGGGTTCCCCGTGACAATCCTCCTCTTCCGCAGCCAGTGGCCCAGCCAGGCCAGCTGGCAGTTGCAGTTGAAGGGGTTGGCCAGGAGGTTTCTGGAAGGCGCGGTCGTGTGGCCGTGAGGACCTGCCGCCATCTC